GCCGAGCTCCCCGCGGCAGCGCTGCACCGGGCGCGGGCGGCTCTCCAGCGAACCCCGCGCTGCAGCCGCTCCTTCCCGGGGCTGCGGGCGCCCAAGGGCGGCTCCTGGTGAGCAGCTAGAATTAGTTTACAAAGCTCAGTGACCACAGCAAGGGCAGGCTGCGAGGCCTGAGCTCAGAGGAAGCCTCTGAGAAAAGAGACGTGGAGGCCTCCGGTGGAGAACAGCCCCAGAGGCCCTCGCTCTCCGGCCGGATCCCCAAAGAATTGCCGCCAACGCGGTTCTGCGCCAGGCCGGGGAGCTCCGGGGAGACTCTCCCAGTCCTGCCAAACATGATTAAGTGTGATTTACAAACGAGTGGCGTGCGCGGGGTGCCACAGACAGAGCATGTTCCTGCGGAAATCAGACCACAGGCCCGAAAGTCCGGGCCGGATTCTGGCTGCGCAGCGCAGCCAGCCTTTGTCCCTGGGCCCTTATTTCTAGCCGCTGCTTAATTAGGAGGTGACCGGCTCCAGAATGACTGTTATCACAGACCGGCAGGCAGAAAGCGCAGGAACAGACCACCCTTCTGAGATGGTCCCTCAATTACTTTCCTTTGATTTCCTGAGAAATAAAAAGGAGGGAAGAAGGAAGGAAAAGGAACTTTCTTGGGGCAGCTGGCTCTAATTGGAGCCTTTATGATTTTTTGCTTCTCTCCTCAATAAAAGCTCCTTATTTGAACTCAAAAGTTCACACACCAATTAAATGTGCATTTGTAGTATGTCCAAGATTGCTGCTCTCTTTTAACTGTAAAAGTACTTTGGTGAGAAAGTAAAATTGTGGAAAGACCCAATAATAGCATCTTTTAGCCTGGCATTCGGGTGGGTTCTGGAAATGTTTACCACCAGCTCTTCCAAGCACTCCGCAGAAAGTCCTCAGAGGCCCTAGGAAGAGCCCACCTGCGTAGTTGATGTCATTGGATTTGCTGCCGGACTTGAAACGCCCCTTTAAGCTAGTGTTGATTTTGAAAACAAAAGGCTGCAAAAAAAAATGTGAAAAAAATATACATCAGCATAGACAACACTATTCCAACAATGTTGCATCAAAAGATCGACTTCCTGGCCCTTNGAAAAAAATATACATCAGCATAGACAACACTATTCCAACAATGTTGCATCGAAAGATCGACTTCCTGGCCCTTTCTCTCTGTAATCTCACTGTCACTCAGTATGTCGTTATCACATACATATTGGTGCTAAGCAATGTGCCAGGTGTTGAGGTTTCAAGATGAACACCCGTGTTACCTACATAATGTTAGCAGGTTCTGTGAATGAATCTACTTGTTTCTGACTACTTCCCAAATTATACTGGGATTTGGTTTGGGCTGGGGTTTTTTTGTAGGGGGGTCATGTATATTAACTTCCTGGGGCTGCCCTAACAAAATACCACAAACTGGGTGACCTAAACAATAGAAATTTGTTGTCTCACAATAATTTCTGGAGGCTAGAAGTCCACAGTCAAAAAACAAACAAAAAGAATATACAGAGAGGTTTAGTTCCAGAAATACTGGCTTATTTTAATCCACTAGGAAAACAGATGCGATTATCTGTGTGTATGTGTAGGGGTATATATACACTAAAATATGTAAAGTAAGAATATAAAATATTATGTCTGAAAGACAACAGACACAGTATCTCCCCCCTGGAATCATCATATATGTCATATGCCCATATATCAGTGTGTACAAGGTACAGTATTCTAGAATGATGCTTTCTGATTTCTTGGGAAAGAAGTTTTATTCATAATTATGTTGTGATAACAATACCTCTTCTACTTCTAGAATAATCACATTATATTCAATTATGGTGAGTTGAGATCTACTTTATTTCTTAATATAATTAGTATGAATGTGAAAATCATAGAATATCTTAGGAAGCATTCACTTCATTTAAGACACTGGGTACGATGCACATTATAGTTCACTCGGCCTTGGGATTACAAAACTCATAACAGAAGAGCTTGACCACACAGACCTTGTGTTCCTAAGTAACTAGAGAGGGAGAAACCCACACGACGCATGTCCCGTTGCCCCCTCCGCAGCCATCCACATCGTGGCGCACGTGTGCAACCTGGAGCGCTACCACCGGGGACAGTCCTCAGAGGCCCAGGGCCTCCTGGCTGCACTTTCCAAGCTTGGCGACGCCTCAAATGAGAGCTACCTCAACCCCATCCGGACCTCCCAAAGGGTGAGTTCTTGCACGCTACCTAATTTTTCATCTGAAAAATGCTCTTTTCCTATCCCTTTTACAATCAAGAACATTGTATTTTAAAAGCTTTTAATAAAAGAGCTCGAGAGAAGAAGTTTCTGCCAAGTGTTAACATTAATTTCACTTTTTCAAAACAGTCATTTTTTCTGCCATAAATGTTGCCAAGAGGTTGTGAGCAAGGAGAAAACTGGTGCCACTTCATTTGTTTATAGCAAAAAATAATAATAAATACACCTAAACAGGAAATACGGTGACCTTTTAAATCTCCAATATTTTAAATTTTTAAAGCGGCTCATGATTAGGTATTTTTTTGCTGATGTAAGACTCATAAAGAATGTGAAGCACCATATAAATCCGGGGATTATAAAGTAGGTGTCTCCATTTTCAATTTGCAGATTGTTCTCTAGATCTGTTCAGCGTCCTATTTTGGCACACATGTGACTAGCTGGCTTGCCAAATCAGGTGCTGGCCAACGTAGCTAATTTCATAGTGAGGCCTACCTGGCTAGTGACATCACTAATGCTAATTATCTGTGTGGAAATGTGGGAAACAAAAAGAAAACCAAACATGTAGCCACCGAAATCCACCTGCAGAGATTAAGACATTTCTCTCGCTTAATGTACCCCCTGCCTTTCTCCCTAGTTGATCTAAACCTTTGGCCATGTGCTACCATATTGGAATATGCATCCAGAGCACTGAGCAGGTTTGAAAAACATCTATACTGCCCAAGAGGAGGCCTAAGACAAAAATGGAAATCTCTCCATTACCATCTGGGCCATTTTGCCCAGGCAGCCTTATTTGAAGAAGGAAAATTCAAAGTCTCTTTTTGGGAAAATTCTTCCATGTCATGTCCCCTAATTATCCTACAATGATTTCCAATACCAGGCCACTGGTCAGGTAGAGCTACATTTTCTTAGCTGACAACAATTCAAAGCACAAGTTTCAAAGTTATAAATCAAAACTACAGATGCCCTAAGCCTGCAGGAATGCCCTGGGGTACTCATTTGAGCCTTGGGGTACTCATTTGAGCCACAGCGTTTACCTGGGCACCTACAGTAGGGTTAACTGTTTTCTCCACTAAGGCTCTGGAAAGTTCATTGCAAACATACCCAAGAATAAGTCTCAACATTTTAAAGAGACTATAGAGTAAATAACATTTATTATACATAGTTTTAAAGCAATTTAACAACATGATTAAGGTACTTCCAATATAATGATTTCAAAATTTTAGTAGTAATCTATGTAAGTACTAATTAAGTCCAGGAAACCCTCTAATTTGGGGTATTTGGAGAAAGATGAGTATCAGTAACACAAAGTGTACTTTATAGAGCGTTTCTAAACAGACGCAGTGGGACTGTTTTAGAGGACACATTGCAACTCAAACCAGCCCATAAGTATGGTGCAAGAAAAGGGACATGGGGATTTGCTTTAATAAGCCAAGAGGGATGGTTTAAAATTATCACATCATATGATATAAATGGATTTCTAAAATGTGTGAGTACACTTGAAAAACATCTTTTAAATGTTTTAGACATACCCTTTCAATTTTATTTCCACGGTTTGCTCCATGAAGAAAAAATAAACATCAGAGAAGTCCCTGTCCAAATTACCTCAAGATCTCAAGGCAACCCAAATTAATGAGATTTTACTGACAAAAGATACAGTGTGAGTTTATTAAGCTCACAGTCGTCTCAACGATAGCAAGACAATGTATGAATACTAATGACTTGACAAGAATATGGGAAACTCACAATAAAAACAAAACACTTTGTGATTTATATTCTAAAAGGCTATTTATCAGTCCCCTGAACTCACAGGTCAGAATTCTGGCCTTTTGGCAGTGTATACCAGATAAGAATAGCTGTATCTTTATTGATCATCTAGGATTTGCAGAGTCTTACGCCAAGCCTCCTGAGGTGGCATGAAAGAAATGCAAGTCATGATCCTCCCAATTAAAAAGCAAAAGCAAGGAATCACTAACCACCAGAGGAGCAGGGGCTACAGCTGCTTGATTCAAATGCCTCTAAGGGGTCTCTCAAAAAGAGTGTTTCTTAATGTTAAAACGCAATTAAGCAAAGGGACCCACATTTTTATCTTAAAAATTAAAAATCTGAAACTCAGATTTATTTTGCAGTATTTGATCTTAAAATGTCTTTTCATATATTGCCCTAATTTCATTTCAACATAGTATTTTTGACATAAAAATTGATTTATACAGATGAAAAATGAAGTTAATGAAATGCATTTGATGAAATTTTCACAAAGTGAATGTTCGCCATCAAGTGGGAGAGCGGAAAGGGCAAAGGAGCTCCCTTCTTGAGGTTTTGTGTTTTTTTAAAATATATTTTTATTCATTTCAGAGAGAAGGGAGAGGGAGAGAGAGAGAAACGTCAATGATGAGAGAGAGTCATTTTCTGGCTGCCTCTTGCACGCCCCCTGCTGGAGATCAAGCCTGAAACCCAGGCATGTGCCCTGACCAGGAATCGAACCTCAATCTCCTGGATCCTAGGTCAGTGCTCAACCACTGAGCCACGCCCGGCTGGGGCCTTCTTGAGTTTTATGGGGACCATTTGGAAGCTAATATGGGGTGGAGCAAAAGTAGATTTACAGTGTGTGTGTGCAAAATAGAGTTTATTCTTGTGTTATTATTTGTTACTTATTGTATTATTTTCCATACAAACAACTGCAAACCTGCTTCTGCCCCAGCCTGTATATGTGTCTGACTAGAACATTTTGAACTGCTCTTTGCTTGGACTGTCAAGTGCTGGTCCTCAAATGGAAAACTGGAACTAAGTTATTAATGTCCTGGCGTCTGTGTTTTTCAGAACACAACCACTGAGTTGCTGATGACAGTGGCGGGCATTACTGGCCTGCTCATCTCTCTGGCTTTAATCTTGATCATGACCTCTTCCACCGAGTTCATTAGGCGGGTCTCCTATGAGTTGTTCTGGTACACACACCACGTTTCCCTCGTCTTCTTTATCAGTCTGGCTCTCCACGGGGCAGGGTAAGTCCCTCCTGTGCTTAGCATGTGAGATTTTATCTCAGTGGACCTCGCAATAATCTTAGAAAGTCCTTCAGATGGAGGAACATGACGTGCAGGGGACTAAAGGACACATAGATCACATGAAAAAGCACATTCAGTGTGGCAACATACCTTTTTTAGTACGACTGGAAATAGGAGACATAGGTGTTGAAGTGTTATTTTTTTTTTTCCTAACTCTGTTGGGGTGTCTTGACATGTTTATAAAATGTAGGAATTGTAACAAAGGTTGACGACAATAGATGTATGTTTTACTCCGGACCTATTTCCACAATCCCTTTTATGTGGCATTAGTCGGGATATATATTTTGACACCCATATTTCACTTCTACTTGACCAAAACCATCCACTAGGAAACCCATTGTGGGTGAGAGGGTGGTATGTGAGGTGGCCCATCTGACCGGGGCTCTGCCACTGGCCCTTTAAATTCTCTGGCCCTCAGTTTCCCCTCTGACCTCAAACATCCTTGTTGCTCACACATCCCATGAATGTGCTCTGGCATTCGACACCTACCCGATGCTGTTAATCTCTTCCTCAGGAAGCTAGAATGAAGTATGACTCAATATAATGTTTTTAATTCTTCAAATATTAGCAAAATAGTTTTGGACCAATTAACTAATTGATGTCTATAAACTAGTTTGTCCCAATTAATCATTTCAAAAATGGGTGCCTCTTTCCTCCATTTCACAATTTGCAAAGCACATTCATGCGCACGATCAATGTGACCCCAACGAAAGTCCCGTCCAACAGAGACTGAGCTGTTTTCCCATCTCATCAGGAGGAAACAGGTTCAGAGGGTTCACTGATTCACTTAAGGTCCCAGGATGAATAAATGGCAGAGTCAGACCTAGGATGCCGGTCTTCAGACAACTAAACCTTTACTGGTAACAAGCCCTGAAGGGCTGCTCTTCATTTTCAAGAATTAAACCTTCCTCCTTGATACCCCGGGAAATGCGGCAGGATGCTGCAGACACCGGGCGTGGCCTGGAGCAGCTTCTGCTCTGTGTCCTGCACTGTCATCGCGCATCATCACAGCTGCTGAGCACGGAGGTGCCTGGTGCCCAAGGCGGGCTCCGTTCTGCCCAGACCTGGGACAATAAGCACAGCCACAGAGACGGCACAGCATGGTGACCTTGTCCTCTGTGGGCCCAATGCCAGCTCTTCTAGACCTGCCCCCTAACAAATCACTGCCTCCTCCCACGCCCCCTATACTAGACGCCCCTCTTTCTTAGCCCCCACTCCTAGGAGGGGGTCAGACTTCTGCTTTTGTTGCTCCTGTGCCTAGGACCTCCCCCACCACCCAGAGTTTGTCTGATGCTCAGACACTGGAAGACCTGCCCCTGGGGGTGTACCGTACCCAACCAACCACCTGGCCCTCTGTGGAGCCCCACAAACCTGTCGGTCAACACTCGCACTGCTGCGGCTGCCTGCCTCAGGCTCTCTAGTCTCTTTGGCTTTAAAATCTCTGCGGTTGGCTCCTCTGAGTGTGTGATCAGTCCCTCACTCTGACTATTCATATCTTGAAGGGGAGTGGTCCCAAAGGGTTTCACTCCAAAGACTGTCAGTCCCTCCTCAGATTCTTCTCCCAGTGCCGAGTGTTAACCCCTGCAGCACATCTGGGAGGCTCTTCATAATCCACGTAGATCTAGAAATCTCTTCACAAAAATTATGCATACACCCCGCCCCACCCCCTCACCCCAGCCTTCACACCCTGGCGATTGTCGAGCACAAGAGGATTTCAATGGGTAGTGCTCCGCTGGAGATAGTGTTTAATATCCAAATACCATTTCATACGATGAAATTTTCAGTCATTTTAACTTAGTTGAAAGGCTTATTTTGGGATAAGGGCCTCATCGAATCTTCTCAGCTTGAAGTATTTTACAGCTACTGTTTACAGCAAAAAGCAATTTGTGAATTCCAAGTAAAGGAGGGTTACTGGAATATGTTAAAGCCACTAATCTTCCTATTATGGGATGACAGAGATGAAGACGCAAAAAAAATTGAAAAATTTTAAAAAGATATTGCATTTGTGGAATGGCCTGGGGTTTCTTTAGAGAATATAGAGAATGTTGCCTAGAGCCTGCGAATGAAGGTGTTAACATTTACAGATTCCGTTCCTCCAGCTCCCATTTATTATTCCCCCTTCCCGTATCTGGGGAGATTCAGAGATAGTCTCTCTCATCTAACTCAGAGGGATGTTATCTAGTTTGGATGACTTCCACCAACAGACTGGGCCAAAGGCCAGGATAACAGTTCTCCAGGCGATTTCCAAGGGCATTGCTGCTCCCTCCCCCATGCCCTATGATACAAGGGATCACCTGGTACCCCACAGGCTACCCAGGGCATGACCCTGTGTGATGTTCAAGTGTCTTGGTCTGTGAGTACCATGTTTCTCAAAAATAAACCAATGTATTTCATTCATAAACACTTAAGAATTGAGTAACTACCAGATTACACGACCTCAATGTCTTGTACATCGCAGCCTGGGCACCAGTGGGTAAATCAAGGAACTTATAGGAAAACTGCTAGTCAAAGGTCAGTCAGTGCTGCATTTGTGACAAATGTAATACAGAAGGATCACAGGATTCTTGATCCAGCACTCTGTTCACAGAGGCCGGTTTCCTTTCTCGCCCTCAAGTTCTTCAATATAGTCCTGAAGACCCACCTGTTTTGACCCTGTCCAGCACTAAGCCTGCCGGTGGTCACTGGGAAAATAATATCTTTATTCAAGTCCCTTCCTCTGACTTCTTCACTTGAAAACTTCTAGGTGCTCAGAAACAAAGCAAGAAGGGTAGAAGTTAAATAAATCTGCAAAAGACCCAGATAGTACAAAGTTAGCCAATTAGCCCAGAATCAGTAATCAGGATGAGATGTAACCTAATTAAATCCAACAGGCTACAAAAGGATGTGTTCAAACAATTTCCCTTCATTATAAATTCTCTAATACAGACGCTTTCCATTTAACACAGGATATCACAGAGGGGCACCTCTTTTCTGGGGTCTTCAAAGTTACTCAAAGCTTCTGAGGTTCTCATTTTGAAAGACGCTAAGGGAAATGAATGAATGACAGCCTGATACGAGACGTGGACATGTTATTCTAGAGCCCATTGTAGAATACATATCTGTGGTATCACAAGACTGCACAAAATCAATTTTAAGTGTCTGAGCTTTTTGTTTTGTTTTGTTTCGTTCTGTTTTGAACGGCAAGTCGGATTGTTCGAGGCCAAACTCCCGAGAGCCTCCTGCTACACAACGTCACCTTCTGCAGCGACCGCTATGCCGAGTGGCGGGCGGCTGCCCCATGCCCTGTGCCTCAATTTTCTGGCAAGGAGCCTTCGGTAAGAATGAACCCAGGAGGTTTTAAAAATAGCTGTCACCATAAAATAACTAGAGCTCTTATATGCTTGAGAAAAGAACCACCATGTCACTACGAGACAAAGCCAAGTCTTTATTAAGTGTGCTAATGGGGAAATCGAGTTATGGGTAATTTTAAAAGAGCTTTACTGCCAAGAGCACTCTGTGCATTTCAAAATGTGTTCCACTTACATTTGAATGGGGATGTCTGATATTTCGGGAATTCATAGCACCACCATCGCAATAACGTCCCCGGGGGAATCAGAAAGCCGAGTGGCTCTCCACCCCAGTTCTCAGCAAGCTCAGCTCCCTGTCCCTCCTTTCCAGTCTGAGAATTAATAGCATCACTCTTCAAATGAACACCATCCAACAACCAGATGAGAGTGTGCCCTCTTCCTAAGCTTGCCTTCTTTCTTTCTACAGCTTTTGGGATAGAGAAAAGGGAGTGTTAAATTCATTGCTTTCTGTCCTAATTAAGCTCCCAGGACTGAAACAATGGCAATGGGAGCCAACTGGAGACTTAATGAGAGTAGATGGTGGAGCCCACAAGATCTCAGGAGTCAGATTCCCTGCTGTGCTGTGATCATTTCCGTCGAAGGCACAGGTGGATAGACAGAGCAACCCTATGTGGTCCCTCAGGTATCTTAGAACAACACCGACCTTGGAGTGGCTGGGGGATGTGTAAGAAATAAAATTAAATTAAAAATTAAAAAAACAAAGCTAGGGGATTAAAACTAGAAAACATGTGCCAAAAAAATTCGTCATGAAAAATGGGCTCATTGTATATAACAGAATATAAATCGTGGGATTTAGGAAATTAAGTCATCAACTTTTGAAGAATAAAACAATCGACTTTTTCTAAAATCCTCAAATATATTAAATTAAGCACTGGATTTTAAGGTGAAAACTGCTGGAAAGAATGTTTAAAACAGAGTGAACCGGAATAAATGTGCCCATAAGGCTGTGGCTCTTTTAATAGCCATTGTAGATTGTCTTTGTCTTACACTCAACTACCAGTAGCCATTACCCAGCCTGCATATTAATAGGGAACGTGAATGTCTCTCTAAAATTTTCAGCTACAGTGTCTCCATAAAAAAATCAATATCTTCCTACACCTCAGGAATACAGACCAGAGCCTGCTCCCAGCAGCAGCAGATGCCGACATTAATTACCATTAAAAGGGAGAACTTGCCCATCTCTCCGACTCTCCCCTGCTACACCTCCATGCACACCCAAACCCATGTTGTCACTCCTCCCCATTATTTTTAATGGATCCTAATTCAAAGCGTGTGTGGGCTGTGCAATTACCGCTTGGCTGGATGTACAATATTCTCTCTGATGTCTTAGAGACGGTGAATCCGGAAGGCATCCCAAGGACAAGGAAGGGCTCCTGCACTGCACTGCACCAATGTACCTGGTCTCTGCAGGGCTTCATCCCTTCCCCTTTGCCTCCCTTAACTCAGTGCATGTTCATGGTTCTTTTATCAATGGACTATTTCAATTCACCATCAGTGGTGCACTACTCCCCAGGTTACATCGCCTCATAGAAACTGAAGTGATCAAAGGAACCAATTATACCTTGCAGCCCCTTCTCCCCATCTTGTCTTTTGTCCTGAAACTCAGACACATACAAGACTCCAGATTCTAGAATTGACACAACCCATTCTCAAAAGATGCCTGGTCTTCCTTAGCCAAAGAAAGCACCTTATTGCCGTTAACTATGGCATTAATCAGTAATAATAAGTAACAATAATAATGATGATGATAAGACTGATGCCTTTTAAATTATTAGGCAATGACATCAACAGTACAGGAAAAGTTGTAACTGCAGTAGGGTCAATTCAGCAAACTTTCTCCAAGTGGCTATTACACGTTTGGACCTGCACTAGACGCAGGATTCAGAGACGTCGCTCCTGCCCCTGGAAATCTTATTGTCTAGAAAAAGAGGCCATTCATAAGCTCACACATAAAATACAATCAGAGCCAGCATGTTCTTATTTTCTGGTAGGAATGAAAAACCAGGAGTGAAAGTGTAGGAAACAAGTTTCATTGCTGCAGCTTTTAAATCAACGTTACTTTATTTCTATCATAAAATACTCACTGTGCAGTGACTTTCTGAGTATTTTTGGGGAAAAAAAAAATAAAGCTAAGAATCCAAAAAATATTTTAGCATTTAAGAAACTTGGATACTAAACAGGCAGGGCTCTTTATTTAACAGATGGAGAAATGGATGCCCAGGGAGTTTTAATTTCTTACCTATGGTCATGAAGGGCATTCCCAACAAAGCCACATGAAGAAACCAGAGTTTCGCCTGGCTGACGTGGCTCAATTAGTTGAGCACTGTCCCATGCACCAGGAGGTTGCTGGTTTGATTCCCAGCCAGGGCACATGCTCGGGTTGAGGGCTCGATCCCCAGTGGGAGGTGTGCACGAGGCAGCCGATTGATGTTTCTCATCAATATTTCTCTCTCTCTCCCTCTCCCTTCCTCTCTCTCTGAAATCAACAAAAGCATATTTTTTTAAAAAGAAATCAGAGCTTCTAACTCTGTGGCCATGAACTTCCACCTCTACAGCCTTCAGCATTCATTCTGAATCTCTGGCCTCCTCCCACCCCACACTTTGCCAGCTCTCTGCTGCTATCTATGAGCACATGTCCCCGACATTGTATTTATCTCTGTGAATAAAGCGAAAACATTTAGGAGCTTGGAGAGGACCTGAAATGATAATTTCTTCCAACCCATTTTATGAAACAGAAAATTTGAACATAAAAAGGCTCAAGACTTGCCTGAAGGCATAGGGTTATGGGTAGTAACCCTAACACCAGACCCAGGTCTTCAGAGACCCGGCTCCAATGCACCTGGCCACCTGCCCTTGTTGCTCTGCGCCTTGGCCTCTTTGGCCTCACTCACCCTGTCTGCGCTGGCCATTGCTGCTAGGATAACCTTCTGAGATTCACCTCTGGCCAAACCTCTCCCTCACTCCCAACTTTCAGAGCACCAGGACTAACTATCACAGCAGAACTAAATTGGCGCTTCTCCCCCTGAAGCAATTTATATACCATAGTAGAGACAGATCCAAGAATGGCTAGCTTACATCTTCCTTCCCGATGAGACGTACAAAGAAAATTAATCCATTCCATTTTATCCACATGGAAAAATCTGAGACCGTGACTGACTGGACACCACCGAAATCAACTCTGTGATGTTTGAAACTTTCCAAAATGCGCATGAAAGATTATTTGTAAAAATACATAGAGACTATGTGAGTGTTTTTGCAAGTATCTAAATTTATACAGAAAGAATTGCATTCTTGCTATTATTTCTGTAAATATCCAGACGAATTCTCACAACACTTTTTGGTTCATTTGGGCATAAGCGACCGAAGGACTCAGTCACTGGGTCCATCCTTCACGTCGACCCCGCCATGTCTTTTCCCTTATTCTGCTCCTCATCGCAGCTGCGCCCACAGCAGAGGTGCACAAAGATTTCACTCTCTGCTATTCTGGTCATGTTGCTGAACACCACTGAGGAAGAAGGGAATACGTGGGTCAGGTTGCTTTGCATTGCCTGCATAAATCAAGCCTTTCTCGGGTAAATGGGAGACTCTCAGGGAAAGAGCAAAGAAGGCTGATGCCGGCAGGAAGCAGTGCCAAGCAAACACACCCAGAAATTAACAGGACAGAACTAAAGACAGCAGGAAAGATAACTGCAGTAAACATAATGCTGAAGTGCTGTGACCTGTCAGCAGACAAGATGGAGCGGTATAGCAGGTGAGGGACCAAGGCGTGAGGAAGACAGTTAATCGGTGATGGTTTCACGGGCATCCTTCTAAGGCAGTAAGATACTAGGGATTTAAGATTGTGCAGGGTTTAGAACACCAGGGAGGGAATTTAGGGAAACTGTGAAATGGGTTGAGTTACAGTCCTGGCTCTCCACGATCCACATCTGTCTTCTTAGGCAACTCATACCCATTCCCAGAACAACTGGTTTTTAATTCTATAAATATAAAATTAGGATAGATTTCCAAAAACCCTTAACATCCTGAAATTCAATGAACTAATAAGTCTCTAATGCTTTGTAAAATGAGTGTCAGTACCAGTGTCAGGGTTGGATGGGAAGAAGAGTGACTACATGGAAAATGCTCGAGGGAGGCACTAGGGTCCTGGACAGACCACAGCCCAGGTGGCCAGGCACACTGGGGTTCACGTCTTTACTGTGTGTCTCACGGCCTTTGTGGCCCTGAACAACTTGATCTTGCTGAGCCTTAGTTTCCTCTTCTGTAACATAAAGAGAATACCGTAGGCTTGTGGGTTTGTTTGGTATCAAACCTAGGCAAAGACTTCAGAAATTTTAAGATCCCATTCCTTTCCTTTTAGGGCAGGGGTGGGGAATGTCCAGCTGTATACGGCCTGTAAAATCATCTGGTCTGGCCCTGCCGAGGCCTCACCAAAGAGAAGCAGTTCCAGTTATCACATTAGGGGTGAGTTAATTAAATGTTTGACCAAATATAGCAGGCTAATTTTTAAGTTGATGATTCTGTATGGACTTTGAATGATGTTATAAATATCCAAATGGCCTTTGGCAAAAGAAAGGTTCCCCACCTCTGTTTTAGGGGACAAAGATACCTTATGTTATCCCCAACACCTGGTACAGGGATAGCCTGCTGGTCAAATGAACATCCATAATGCAGTTTATACTCAGAAAGGGTTGACAGAGGATGGGCTTCAGTAAAAATGGATATGCTCGCTGTCACAGTTCTCCAGACAATTGTTGAGACTTTCGTTGATTCTGTAAACATGGATTTAAAATGCTGAGAAACTAGCCTGGCTGGTGCAGCTCAGTGGTTAGAGTGTCAGCCTGCTCACCAAAGGGTCCACAAGTTTGATTCCCAGTTAAGGGCAGGTTCCTTCCCCTGGTGCGGTTGGATGCCTGTGGGAGGCAACCAATCCACGTGTTTCTCGCACATCGATGTTTCTCTCTTTCTCTCTCCCCCTCCCCCTCCGTCCCTCCCTTCCACTCTCTCTAAAAATCAATGGAAAAAATATCTTCAGGGGAGGATTAACAAACAAAAAAACACTGAGAAACTAACTTTCTGTTTTATTCCAGACAACACTGGCTGTGCATGCATGTGTGAGGGTGTGTGGGGGGGGGGTTCTTCAGGCAGACCCCCAAGTTGTGATGCATTTTTGGCTCCCAAATTACTATTTGAAATGTTTTTATTTAATTCTCCATGTCCTGTGCTGGCTCAGTAATGTGGCTTTGTAAGCCTTTGACTTCGGCTGAGTTTGGGAGCATTTATGACCCTATCATATGTAACATAAGCATCAATCTGCTTCCTTATTTCTTTGCAAATTCAATTATTTCTAATTACATAAAGGCATCATTGATCAAGTAAGCATAAAAACCAATACAGAAGAGTTTAATCTCTTAAATAAGCTTGTAGACTTCAAGGCATAATCGAATGTTCTAGTATTTAATACAAGGAGACATCTTTGCTGTTGACAACTGGCCCAGAGTTAAAGGAAAATGCCTAAACCCCAACATGTTGCACATTGATTGGTTCAAGCTGCAAGTATGTGGAGTCTATTCTCATTTCCCTCTCTGCTCTCTGCAGGCCTGGAGATGGGTTTCGGGCCCTGTGGTCCTATACGCGTGTGAGAGAGTAATTAGGTTCTGGCGATTCCAACAAGAGGTTGTCATTACGAAGGTATGGATGCAGATTTACGTCAGAATAAGAGCCTGCGTGTAGATGAGAATTTTTTATTAGCCCGAGTTTTTAATTTGCCATCTTTTATGCAGAACTGCCTGTAATTTAGAGGCTCATCTCCTGTCCTAATAATTGCTTGCATCCTGCTCGTCGCTTAGTGTGACTCATTTAACTGAGGGCAGGTACTAGGGCCTCAGACTGACACACAGGATTCTCATAAAGGCTATGGCACAGCTGCGTTTCTCGCTATTTCAGTTTCTCTCCAGAGGGAATGAGCATGCTGTACACTGGGCACAGCAGCTTGAATATAATCGCTTCCTTCCCCACATAGAGACACAGACTCTGCAAACACACAGATAACATGCAGACATCTTCAAGCTCAGATATTCATACCTAGAATTACTGAACAGAAGATGGGGGAACTGTCACCCTCAGGTTTCAGGGGGGGGGGGTGCTGAGATGTTTAAAACATATAGGAAGGACGTCTGAGGAGCTCTGCCCTGGACAGTGAGCAGCAGCTGCTCTGTGGTAGCATTTTCCAATCTTGCCAACCCTGCTCAGAGCTCACTGATATCTACCTCATGCTGGAGAAAGATATGAGCAGATAGACCAAGGACACATTGTCTCTCCTGGCCAGCATGGCTCAGTGGTTGAGCATTGACCTGTAAACCAAGAGGTCCCTGGTTCAATTCCTGGTCAGGGCACATGCCCAGGTTGTGGGCTCGATCACCAGTAGAGGGCATGCAGGAGGCAGCCAATCGATGGTTCTCCCTCATCATTGATGTTTCTCTCTCTCTATCCCTCTCCCTTCCTCTCTCTCTAAAATCAATAAAAAATATTTTTAAGGTCTAGGAGGCTGAAAAAGTACCAGATCCTCTGCTCCCAGCTATTTAAATGTCTAAGAAGAAATTCTCTGCTAACCGAACTTAAAACACTTTGCTAATACAGTATTAACAGAATGCTATATCTCTTTAACATCTTCATGAGAGTGGAGGCTGGAAATTGCTTCATATTTCTGTTTTAAGCTATTTCTGTGTTGCTGTTTTCAAGTTAAGCACCAAAGGCTATGAGGCCATATCCAAAGCTAGACAGTAAAACTTCTAGAGATCTACTAAAGCTGTTACTAGGGAGACAATTTAACAGCAGAATCAGAAAGAGGATCAGTAGGAAGGGGAGAAACTGAACCAATGATTAAAATGCAGTGAAATTCTCTTATGTGTGGAGATACATTGTCACCGATTCTAGATGCGAGATTTTGTTCCCTTATACCTCTTGCCACAGTAAAAGACCTGCAGAGATTTCCCAGAAAACAAGATGGGAATTGAAAAGGGGAAATTAGTTCCTTTCCTCTGATAAGCAGCAGGTTACAAAATTCTTATATAAGCAATGAATTTTGTATGATGCTTCCTCTATCCAAAACTCAGAGCATAGGTAGGAGGCTGGATGAGACGTGACTAAAACAAAACAAAACATCCCACTGAAAGGAAGAAATACCAGGGTTAATTCATGAAGGACTGAGAAACGACTCAGATCCTTTAAAACCGAACCTACATTTTTTAACCACAGAGATAATTCTGTGACTATTTGAATAACTTGAAGCAGAATTAGGTGTGATGCAGGCTATGCTAGCTTCTGCTTTCTTGGGTCTGGTGAACTGTGCTAAGAGAAGCCTAGCCATGTGAGACATAAAGTCACATGCCAGACACCAAGTGGCACCTAGATGCAGCTACCCAAGTTTCAGGCGTCACCGTGAAGGAAATGAATTTCATTCTTGCTGGACTTGCCAACCAGACATGCAAGTGATGGCAAAGACCCTTGGAGGCTCATCGCAAATGGTACATGTAAATTAGCCCTCAACAAAGCTGATTTATTCATTCATTTACTTATTTTTATTGTTGTATTACAGATGTCCCCCATTTTCCCCCTTTGCCTCCCCACCCCTTCACTGCACTACTGTCCATGTCCATGGGTTATGCATATATGCATATAATTTTTCGGTTAATCTCTCCACTCCCCCAATACCCTTCCCTCTGAGATTCGTCAGTCTGTTCCCTGCTTCCATGTCTCTGGATCTATTTTGTTTTTCAGTTTATTTTGTTCAGTAGATTCCACATATGAGTGAGATCATGTGATACTTGTTTTTCTCTGACTGGCTTATTTCACTTAGCATAATACTCTCCAGGTCTCTCCATGCTATCTAAAAGGGTAAGATATCCTTTTTTATAGCTGCATAGTATTCCATTGAATAAAAGCTGATTTAAAAATTTGAAAACCATTGATGTAATGATGGCTATTTCCTTATTACTTGAGTAATACTGAATAAAAAGACCAGCAACTCCCTGTTCTAATTTAGGTGGTAAGCCATCCATCCGGGGTCCTAGAGCTTCACATGAAAAAGCGTCACTTTCAGATGGCACCGGGGCAGTACATCTTGATACAGTGCCCTTCCATATCCGCGCTGGAGTGGCACCCGTTCACCCTCACCTCTGCCCCCCAGGAGGACTTCTTCAGTGTGCACATCCGGGCAGCAGGAGACTGGACAAGAGCTCTATGTCAGGCCTTCGAAGCTGAGGGACAGGCCCTCAGGGAGCCCTGGAGCCTGCCAAGGTTGGATCCCACTCTTTTTATGTATATGTTGGAACAGTTTTAAAAGTAAGGTATTTTAGTACATCAACATGCTATCAAATTTAGCAATATCCTTATTCTAGATGATATGTTCGAATCCATTTCTTAAATTTCAGAATCTATATAAAAAATACAGTCGTTACATACTGGGGGAGTCAAAAGTGTGGATTTTCAACTGCTGGGGCCGGTGCCTCTAACCCAGCGTTGGTCAAGGGTCAGTTGTAATTTAGAAGATTTCCGATAAAAGCAAGTACATTTCTTTAAAAAAAAATTTTTTTTTAAAGTTCAACAAAGGCAGGCGATGCTTCAGAGAGAAGGAGAATTTTGCTTTCCCAGCTCCAAAGCATCACTTGGCAGATTATATGCAGCCTATGATAAGTAAGACAGCCCTGTGGACTTTCTGTTGTTACTCTGAGGTCTTTAAATTACATTTGTAAAGTTTGGTCTTCGTAAGCAGCATGCTTTGTGGTCAGAACTAATCTGGCAGGCTCCACACACTGGAGAAAGAGCTGACAATTACAGATTGAAGCTCATAAAATGACACAGTGATCTGACAGTGAAGAAAGTTAGTGGTGTCACCAGTCCGGCAGTCCTGCATGTGTGTGTGCAATGAGCACTGATTAGCCTCCACTGCGTGACAGAAATACAGAGATGGCAAAACATTGCCTCTGTCCTCCAGGGCACCAGGAGGTCGAATGCTAGCAAATGATTTCATTTTGCTACGAGGAGATGTGCAAAAGGCAGGTCTGAGAAGGTGGAAAAGCACTGGTGCGGTCTGGATCAGTCTCCTGGGGTGGCTGTGATGAAGGACCACAACTGGGCAGCTTAAAACAATAGAAATATGTTCTCTCACATTCTGCAGACTACAGTCCAGAATCTAGGTGTCCACAGGGCTGTGCTCCCTCTGAAGCCTGCAGGGGAGAAAGAGCCCTTCCTTGCCTCTCCCTAGCCTCTGTGGTTGACCAGCAGGCCTTGCTTCCCTGGCCACCTGCTGCAGCATCCCAGCCTCCCCTCTGTTGTCACATGGCCCTCTTTCCTCTTCTGACTGCATCTCTGTGCTCCTGTAACCTCTTCTTATACAGACACAGTCATGTTGGAATAAGGGCCCACCCTACTACCTGACCTCTTTTTACTTGATTAGTTACATCTACAGCAACCCTATTTCCAAATAAGGTCACATATCACCTGGGGGACATGATTCAGTCCAAAACAGCGTCCTATTTGGAAAATCCTGGGCACATGACAGAAGTCCCACAGTAAATTACCACTCCTGGCTCCTCTTAGTAAACAATGGCTTAATGTTGATCCCCACTCTTACTGCAGGATTACCTGATAAGCACACGAAGCCTGTGTTTAGGGCCCCAGATAAACAGGGAGACACACACACACACACACAATGTTGAGAAAAACATTTTTTTGAAAACTGATATTTCAAAAGAAGTATCAATAGAGGTCCTCTCTTCCCCCACCCTTGGAGGGTGTCAGGGATACCGAGCAAGGCCACTGACATGAGAAACTGGTGGTGAACACTGTAAAGACACCTAGAATGGAACGTCCTGGGGGCGGGCTATTGTCTGTTCTCTTCTGTACAGCCAGTATCTGGAACAGCATCTGACACAGAGTGGGTGAGAGTATACATCTGATAAAGGAATAAATGAGCCTCTGGACCCAACATGTGTGCTTTAGCTCATTTAACTTAACAAGTATTTACAGGTGGCACACTAGGCACTGGAATAAATTTGAGGCACAGAATCTAATCAGTGTACTGTCCCCTTCTCCCCCTTCCAGTGGGACACTGAGCTGTAACTACCTAGCACTGGACTCGATTGTGTTTAGTGCACAGGAAGAGCCACATGCTTTCATACTAAACATTGGTACTAAAAAGCGGCATGTTGCCAAACCAGCCAGAGCCCCAAGTCAGAGGACAACACCTGGCTATTCCATTAAGACCTTTATTTTTTTCGTGGAAAAGAAGCAACAGAAAGAGATTCAGAATGCAATGTAAATGCTTAAAATCAGGGATAAAAGTAGGTACACACACACACACCCCCCACTGCTCCCTCTGCCAGGATCAATACCGTCATCCCATCCCTAGCCTGGTCTCTGCTCTGGGTGCACAGTTATCTGGTTGACTCACCAACCTTTCCCCTCACAGACCAGCTAGCATTTCAGCCAATCCCCCGAAAGGGACTCGGACAATGTTTCTCAGGGCTCCATATGCCTTCTCTTTACGGAGTGTGTGATCAGCTCAGGGCCTGACACAATCTCCCCACACACACCCAGGGTCCTGAGGTCCTGGGCGACGCCTCCTGCTCGCTGGGGACACAGGCCGTTACTGCTTTTCTCACACACCAAGCACTCTCCTTAGTGCCTTGGCCACTGCCACTCCCTCCACATGGGACACTCTTGCTCAGATCTCTGCTCCCCTCTTCCTGCAAGTCTCTGCTCAAATGTCTCCCAGTGAGTCCTTTCCTCCCTCCTCAGCCCTGCTGACACCCGGGTCACTATGCTCCTGCACCGCTTCATTCTCCGCCGCAGGGCTGCTGCCACCCGACACATAAACATCTGTTCGTTTGTTTACCATCTCTCTCCCCACACTAGAGTGGAAGTCCCACTGGAAAAGGGACCTTATCTGTTTGGTTCACCTTAGTGTCCCCAGGGCTGGAACAGACCCTTGCCCTCAGTTGGCGTAAATATGCACAGAATGAATAGAAATGAGTCATCATGAACACTGAAGTTTCCCTTTTTTTGTTCAATTCATTTGAACAAATTGTATATGTCAGCACACGGACTGGCAGCAAAAAACAAAACAAAACACCCTAGAACTCGTTTATATCTTCAACCCATGAAGAACCCTCATACTGGTCTTCCTCGGGTGACTTTCTCTCTCAAAGGTGTTTTACTTTTGAATTAAATCAAACACTTTGGGGAGAAAACCGTAAGTTTTCACTGCTTTTGGATCCAGAAAGGATTTAATCCAGCCCCAGGAATCGGTGACTGAGGAGCCCAGAGGCGAAGCAAACCTAGGCCAAGAGCAGGGGCAAGGAGCCCTGGAGAAAGGGAGAGAAAGGGAGCTCCTTCAGACGTTCCCTCCCGCATTAAACGGAAGAATTTCTGAGTTGACTCGGGAGTTTTCAACAGTTTAACCTGCTGCCGGAGCCAGGGGCTCCTTGTCAGATAGCCTGGGTTCAAAGCCCAGCCGTGTGTATGATCCTGGAGAATGTCTGTACCTCGTGCCTCCATCTCCCCATCTGTAAAATGAAGATGATAATAATAGTAGCTAAGGCCTTGTTTAGGGTTAAATGTGGCAATCCATCTAAAGCCCTTAGCATGATGCATAATAAAAATAGTTAGCTATTATTATTAGCAAAATAAGAAAGGCCACTGACAATAGATGTGACAGTGAAAGTGATGACTGGGTGAGGAGAACCAAGCAGGTGAATCAAAGTCTCCAGTTCAAAGAGGCGAGACTGGAGGCTGAGGAGGTAGGCGGGGGTGTTGCTGACCGTAGCAACAGGGAACAGCATGATGTGGATACTGGAAAGGCAAACTGCTTTTTATGCACTGTTAGAAATTCTCTGTGTCCAGGTCAGAGAGGGAGTAGCTGAGTGAACTTGATAAACAAGAATTTGGGCAAAGGAAGCCAGTTCAGGACTGGCCTTAAGAAATGAAGACATTTTGGCCAGAAAGAGTAAGTAGTGTCATGGTAACTACGGTCAACTATTTAAAGGCCCAAGATGCAGGAAAGAGGAAAGACCTGATGTGTGTCTCTCAAGAAGACAGGAGAGCTGTCAGAAGACAGATTTCAGTGAGATGTAAGGAAGACTCTCCAATTCTTGGAGCTTCCCCCAATGGGGAACAAGTTGCCCTGTAATTTACTATCAGAAACTGTCAGCTCTCAGGGATGTGGAAGGAAGGAATCCCACATTAGCAGGGACATTGGGCTGAATGTTTTCTCCTGCCTCTTCTGGCTCAGGTTCTCAATTCTAATTATGTAGAAATTTGTGTATGATGTATTTCTGTGGATTATAGGACACAATTCTTCTCTAGATTTCATTGTTATCTTTTCAAATCAGTGTCGAATAAATCCCAAATATGACTAATTATAAAAACAATTACCAATAGGATGTTAATCCATGGACAGTTTCCTGTTTTCTCTCTCAGTTCCTCTTATCTAATTATTCATGAAATAATCTGCAGTGGGATGAGATACTACCCTTTCTGGCTAATGACCTTTTATTTTTATTCTTCCATTTCCATATATCCATATGTAATAAAGCCTTACTAATTAATATTAACTTGGGGAGAGTTCATTGGAATTATTAGGAGGTCTAGCATGTGGAATATTTTTAAATAAACTCAGTTGAACTTTCATTGCACATCCTAAGCCCAAATGGGCCAACCTGGGGTGCCTTCAACAGACATCCCTTGGGGAATGGTTATAAATAGCTTAGACCCCTTTTAATTAGCACATCTTTGTTCACATGTAAATGTGTGCTTTTGGAATAGTTGATGGTTTTTAATACATTCTGCTGACTGAAATCTTTTAAACATTCCCTTTACAATTTATGCAACAAACTGTTATTGACCAACTACGTGCTGGAGAGCATACGAGGCACTGGGCTGCAGCAGTGAGCAAAGGCTGGAGAGCGTGTAAGGCACTGAGATGCAGCAGCAAGCAAAGGCAGACACAAAACAATCATGCACACACACCAAAAAAAAGTGTAAAACTGCAACTGTGATGAGGGTTACAGAGGAGGGTTCATGGCGCTATAAATTACATATGAAGGGATTGAGCTAGTCTAAGGGGTCTGTGAATCTTCCCCAGGGTAGTAATGCTGGGATACAACCTACTAAAAGGGCAGCTATTAACCAAGCAAGGGGAGAAATTTGGGGCAGAGTGTGCCAAGTGATTTACTTGGATTATGTGCAAAGATCTGTGCCAGAATGGGTTATGCATATTTTAGGAAATGACAGAAATGCCGATATGGAGAACTGGTCATGAGAACTGGAGTAGAATCCAGGGGCTATTCAGGACCATGTTAAAGGCAATCATATTTATTCAATGAATACGCTTTCTCCTTATCAAGGAAAGTTTGCTAAGCAAAGACACATCAGTGCCACCCCGCCTGTTACAGATTTTAAGTTTGCACAATCTAAACTAATGAGTTTTAGAAATTGCACATAAATGACAAATTATCTCAAGTTTTTTTGTTTATTTCAAACGAACGGCTTCCATTAGGCTAAAATTATATAAATATATGGTACTAAGATGTGAGACAGAATAAATAAAACAGGGCAGAAATATATTAACAAAAGGACAGGTAAACCTTCTAAACCACCTGGGTGCTTCTGTTTTGTCTCTGGTGGCAGCTGGGAGGGTGAAAGGAAGGAAACAGCTTCCTCTACCAGCCTTCATGGTGCTTAGAGCCAAAACAAGCTTCTAAGAACTGTAAGAAGAGCATGCACCGTGGAAAAGACATAAGCTCAGACCAGAGAGGCCAGGCATTGTCCCTCCATGGAGACCACCTGGGCCAGACCACCTGGTCAACCCCCCACGAGGCAGGCCCCCTATCTTCATGCTGAGTCCAAGCCCTCAAACAGGGTGTTCTCCAGCACAGAGCCACCCTCCCTGCACGCACTTGCAAACACAACCCACAAAAAGCACTGATGTAGGATGGTGTGTGGTCAGGAGCAAGTTCTGACTGCCACACGGGCTGGACTCTCCTTGCAGGCTGGCCGTGGACGGGCCCTTCGGAGCCGCGCTGACCGACGTGTTTCACTACCCAGTGAGCGTGTGCATTGCGGCAGGAATCGGGGTCACCCCCTTCGCTGCTGTCCTGAAATCTCTGTGGTACAGATGTTGCGAGTCACAACCCCAGCCGATGATGAGCAAGGTACAGAAAAAATCATTAGTTCACCCATCCTCGGATTAAAAGCCCAATGTCCTGATATCTATCATCTGGCGATTCTTGGGGAGGATTTTAATTAACTATGAGGGATAAACTCAAGGATCCTTAGCTACACTTATGTTCTTCAAAATCTCCATTTAGCATTACATTTATGAGAAGGGTTATGTCTAATCTTGTTAAAGATGACAAGACATAAATTTTATTGCTTCATTGCCATTGCAGGACACGTAATTGCTCATGTCAGTAAAATATGGACAGGCTGCAAATGGCTCTGCGACTGGGCTGCAGTTGGTCATATTAACAGGCTGCCTTCCAGAGTCCCTTCAGCTTGTTACTCTGGTTGCAAGTATACAATTCAATACCTTCCTCTCATGGACTCAGGTCTTAACGAGAAGCGAAAATGCCGTAATTGTGATTCACTGGCTTGCTTATTTATTGTTGTCATCCATCCCCAAATCTCCCTTTTGTCATTTCTTGTATGTTCTCTGATCAGATCCTCCATGGTTGCCTTCCTTCCCTTGTGCTACTCTGAGACTCTGTCCCCTACTTTCTGCCTCCTAGGACCAGCAGCAGACCCTAGAGCTGAGTAGGAAGGGTTCTAGGATCCTAGCGGTGTCAACTCAGGAGGACCCAGGAGGTCAGGTGGGCCTAGTTCTGGTTCTGATTCTGCTACTTCTTGTCTGGTTGACACTTCGGCTGCAGTTTCCTTATCTACCAAAGACAGATGCTTGGTTAGATCAGATTGTCTCTGTGTCTGTTCTATGGAACATTAGTCATATGATATGATCTACTAAGGAGACTTCTGCAGTCAAATGAACTTAAGAAATGTGAGTACAAATCCCACTCCAGAAGAATCACATCATCCATTAGCCTATTAAATAAGTTCTGCAGGAAAGAACTTCGCTCAGTTTGCTTTGCCCACCCTCCTCAAGCTTACTTAGCCATGGAAGCTTTCTTCAGTTAACATCTATTAAGGAATAGCATTAATTAATAAGGCACTGTGGCAGTGCCAGATCAGGAGCTCTCTAAGGCTGGGGATTCCAATTAAGAAGTCAGAGTAAAATTAGCTGTCGTTTCATGAGCTTCCAAGGGACAGACGGCGGCCATACATTTTCCTACTTGATGATTATAATCTTCCCAACAACCTTACAAAGTAGATAATAAAAGACCTGTTTTTTCAGATAAGGAACATAAAGCTTAGCAAGACAAAAGTGGCTTTCCTGAAAATGCATGGGTAGTAAAGGGCAGGTTCAGGATGCAAACTTAGGTCCATCTGCTCTCTCTATGACATAACCAGCGCATGGTGGGCAGGACTCCCACCATGGTTCTGTGGGAAGGCTTCCTGGTCAGAGACTCACTCTTCCTGTTCCACTCTCACTAGAAGCATCACCTTGAGTGAGTCAGCTCAACTCCCTAAGCTGGATTTCCTGGTCCACACAATAGAGAAACGAGTCCTTGCCCAACAGGAACTGAAGCACAGAGAGCTAGTCAATATTAGAATGTGGTTTTGAATCCAGGTCCTTCTTGTGCTAAAGCCCATCTTCTTTCCTCTATCCCACAATCTAGCAGTCTGTTTGTGCTGCTAGCACAAAGTACCATCACTAGCTGGCTTATAAACAACAGGCACTTATTTTTCCAGTTCTAGATGCTGGGAAGCCCAGGGTCAATGCCCTGGCTCATCTGGTGTCTAACAAGAGCCTGCTTCCTGGTCTACAGACAGCCATCTTCTAGTTGGAATTGCCATCATCCATGGCAGAAGGGCATCGGTAGCTCTTTGGAGTCTACTTTCAATCAGCAGTTTGCAACTCAATGTGGAAAAAACAGAGAGAGAGAACTCTAGGAGATTTTTTTATAAGGGTACTAAGCCCTTTCACAAGGGCTCCACCTGTATGACCTAGTCATCTTCCAAAGACACCCTGCCTCCAAATGCCTCTAACACATTGGGAATTGGTTCCAACATATGAATTCTGAGAGGACACAAACATTCAGTCTATGACACAAAGCAAGCAAAACAGCTACTGTTATATATATTTGGACCCCACGGCAATGCTTTGTTATGGTTGATGATGATTCTCAATCCTCCTAAACTTTTTCTTTCCTCTTGCTGTCTACCAAGTAAAGCCCACCTAGAGACGTGCCTCCTTGCTTCATGGTTCTCATTACACTGAAACTTACATTTCATGTGACCTGATGAGATGGACTGTCTGTCTCATTTTCATTCACTTACTCACTCAATGAATATTTATTCAGCACCTAGTATGTGCCAGGCCCTCTGATACTGACATGAAAAGCTCATCACTCCACTTACATCAGATTTACAATATCTCACCCTTCTCTCAACAGTCACCTCTTTCCCTCATGCATGTTCAGATAATACTGTATTTCCCCTAACTCCCTCTGAGCTCCTTGAGCCTGGCTTCTTTAGATATCTTATATATACACTCTACAAATTTTGAATAAATCAGTGAGTGAATAAACGTCTATGTGCCCAAAAGAATAAAGAAGTGGCTCCTACACAATTCTCTACAAGATTCTAGGTTACTAAGATTAATTCATTTTTTAATTTAACCAGAAAAACTGTTTGTTCAGTAATTTTATAATAAAAATAATGCATCCGATTATTTTACTATAAATAGAGCGGGAAAATTCTTATAAGAACCCACAAAATCTTAAAGCCCATATAGGAACCCTCAAAATCTTAATGCTGCCTCCTCTCTCAACATCCCATTGTTATTCCTGGGTGCTGTTATGGGGTTTCTCACAGCTGTTTCAATGGGAGGGTTAGGCAGTTAACACAAAACTACAAAACAGGGACATTGATCTTTATTCCAAACACAGAAATTGAAAAGAAAAATACAATATTTTTATAACATAGAATCACAAAATAACTTGAGGGGTCTTAACCTCCTAGCTTTGCACATGACAACAAAAGTCGGCATCTGTACTTGGAGTGGGAAGTGATTTGTCCAAAGTCACCCGCTGGGCTGGACACCGAGTCAGGACAGGGGCATGTGTTTCTGATTCCCACATCAAAGCTCTTCTATGAAAGTGAGATTTCATGCCATTGAAAGTTTAGGCAGAAAATTACACTGAAGAGCCACTTCCTTCAAGTCTGTGTGCCTGAGAAACAGTTGAAGAAGTTTCTCCATTTTAAAGCAAATTTGTGTTTGAGTATGGCTATCACTAGGCTCATGTAACTAATATTTGCCAGGGCCTCCCACGTGCTTTTAAGATATAAATACTATTTCTTCCACGAAACTGTCAGCATCTGTGTAATTGTTAAAGTACATCAGAGCAGAGCAGTACATATTTTTCTAACAGCATCTTCACAATTACAGATCTGGACTCTAGTTTTCAGACTGTTCTCTTCTGTAACAGGAAAGAGAAGAAACAGCACAGGGGCCCAGGGCTGGAATCTGAAGTCTACATGGTTAACTGCAGTGGATTTTCTCTTCCCTGGGTAGAACACCAATTCACACAAAGGCATGCATATTTTTAGTAAAAGCCTCATGTTGCAAGTCTAAAATTTAAAAAAAAGAAAAAGAAAGAAAAAAAAAAAGCACAATTTTCTGTTGTTCCCACTGCAAACCATTTTCTCCACCCCTTTCTGTGGCCACACTATTCTAGAACACATCTAAGGAAAATGCAGAAGAGCCAACAGGCCCCTGCTGCTTCTTTCTGATCATGGGTAGCTAGCAGTTCCTATTTGAAGACCGTGGTTAAAAATTTCTTCCTGCCCTGGCTGGTTTGGCACAGTGGTTAGAGCATCAGCCCACGGACTAAAGGGTCCTGGGTTTGATTCTGGCCAAGGGCATGTACCTTGGTTGCAGGCTCGATCCCAACCAGTCAATGTCTCTCTCTCACATCAATGTTTCTCTCTCTCTCTCTCTCCTTTCCACTCTCTCTGAAAAGCAACGGAAAAAATATCCTCAAGTGAAGATTAAAAAAACAAAACAAGAAAACTTCTTCCTAACAGTCCTTTATTTTTAAAGATAGCCAGGAGGAGGTGGAGAGGAAGGGAAAGAGACTCCCCAAGAAGGCAGAAGAACACGAAGTATAATAATGGTGGCTTGTGGTGAAGGAAATGTGGGAACATTGTGATATATGAGAGGGATATGTTGAACCCAGGAGTAAAAGCCAAACTTCACTTAGCGAAGGCAGACTAGAGCACAGGCCCTTTTGGGATGAGGTCAGGGGGTGGGTTGGTGAAGTCTCTGTGATGCCAGGTGCTTAGGGGCATAAATCCCCATCACCATGGATGCCCTCCAACTCCTGCCTAATGGTATGATTAATTCTACATCACATTCAATTTGGGAAAAGAGCTTGAAAAAAATTAGGACAGTGTGCTTGTGCAAACTGTAAACATGATGAATGAAATAGGTGTGTACGCATGGGTAGGGCGTGGGAAGATTGCTGACATAAATATCCGATGTCATAGCCATGTAGACAGGACTGAGAGGAACTGCCAGACAGGAGAGTGGGTTCATTTTCTTAACTGCATATGTGATTCTCGGACTATAATACAATAGTTATAGAAAAACCGAGGTAATCTAATTCCTTCATAAATTGTCTTCTTCATCTGCTCAAGAATATACAGCTGTGCTAACCGGTATTTATAGTGTGTCCCATGCAAAATGCCCTTTGGGTTCTTAACCTAATATAATAAACAGATGATTCAAATAAAAAGACAGCATGGGCTAGTGGGAACAAGACAAGGAGGCCAAGAAAGGCAAAAATCCATACTCTACTTAAATATATTAATGGAATATAGGAAGGCTGCTCTCTTTTCTAATGAATGAAAAATGCATTTAATTGAATCTGTTTCGTTTGAGAAATTGTTTACTTTCGCTTCCCCTCACACTTGGAGCTGCGGCTACCCCTGGAATCGATCATGTCTCCTCACCACTCGGAGGAACAGGGAGCATGAGGCCACTTCTGCCTCTCCAAAGATACACGTTCTTTTCAGCTTTCAACATGTGGTCCCCAAAGACTTCAGTCCTCCATCAGGCCTCACCATTGCCTTGTGGGGAGTGACCAGTATTAATATTTCTAATATCTTGGTTTATTAACCACACACACCATACAAGACTACAGCATTCTCATAAAAAATTCAAATAAAACACTCGAACAATCAACAATCTTCCTTCATTAGTCTTTCTCCCCAAACTAACCAGCATTACCACTATTAAACAGCTGAGTGCATCTTATTAGGTCCCTCTTCCACTCATTTGCATGAACCTGCTCAACCATGCACACATGCAGGGTGTTATTTTATTTTTGCAGGGTGGGGAGTGAGAGAGAGAGAGAATAGGAGAGGTGTGCCCATGTTTTGTCTTTGTTTTCATTTTAACGTGGCTTGGAACACATTCAGTGTGAAATCCTACAGATTGACTTTATTTGATGCCTTCAGAGTATTCTGCAGTATGGGCGTCTCTCGATTTTGTAACCATTCTATTATTGACATTTTGGTTGTCCTACAATTATCATTAACTATGAATGGAGCAAACCAAGACACAAACAAGGTCAGTCAGTCCTTGGTAACGGGGCAAACCAGCAGCATGGCCATGAAATAGTTAATGTGGCTTTGAGAAAAAGTCTTAAGGTCTAAAAATGATTGACAAAGTCTGATCTCAGACTTATAATGGTTAATCAGCAAAACTATTTTATTAATATGTTTCTTTAAAACCGGATGTGGAAGCCACATTAAGGAAGCTTCTCAAAAAGTAGATATAGTTGCTTCCAACTTTGTCATCATGCCCGTCCACGGTGACCCCAGCAACAATCACAAAATAAAAGCCTGGACAATAATGGCCACAATAATACTTTGTTAGGGAAGTACAGTGTTATGCTTTCCAAGTATCAGCCACAATCCTTCTCTTTTCAGAGAGAAGAGTGTTTTTTTCAAATGGTCATGAGTCCCTCAATGAAAGTCTCCCCCACCCTATTGGTTTGAAGCTTCTGACAATTGTGCTTTTTCATACAGTGCAACTCTCTTAGTCAGCTCAGGCTGCTATACCAAAATGCCACAGACTGGCTAATTTTAACAACAAACGTACTTCTCACAGTGCTGGAGGTTGGAAGTCCAGGGTCAGGGTGCCAGCAAGGCTGGATTCTAGCGAGAAATCTCTTCCTTGCTTGCAGATGGTCACCTTCCGTGTGCCCTCACTTGACAGAGAGAAAGTGCTCTGATCTCTTCCTCTACTTAGAAGGGCACTAATCCCATATTAGAGGCTCCACCCTCATGACCTTATGTAAATGTAACCACTTCTGAAAGGATCATCTCCAAATACCATCCCACTAGGTTTCAACTTATGAATTTGAGGGGGACACAAACATTCAGTCCATAACAATGGGGAACAAAGAGTGCTGCCCAGGAGCAGGCAAGGTCACATTGCAACTCCATTGTGGTGGAAGCATTGACCAAGGTCAAGGTCAACCCTGGCACTTATGAAACTCCTCCCTATGGGTTTAGCACACTGGAGCTTAGGTTTCATTTTGCTAGTGAAGGAGCTCCTCTTGCAGGACTAGGCCTTTGTGACCCATGCTGAGGCTCTCAGACTGTAGTGGGGATAAAGTTTGGTTTCACCTCCCCTCGATGACCACCATCTATAATTCAGAAGTGACCAGTGGGGACACAGACCTCCAAGTAAGGCAGTGGCCCCCTTTGTTCTTAAACTTAGGGTGTTTGTTCTATAAGTGCTTTCAAATGACACAACAGCTAACAGCTCTGAGCTTTTATCATTTTATTGAGCGTGACTTTCTGTTTAACAAAGCCTTTTAAAGTAACCTTATCTATTTTGGGTCTCAGATATTAGCTACAGAATCCTGAAAGCCATGGTTTACATAAATGATTTTAGGGTCATTTTATTTTTGGAGACTGAGGAGGGGTGGGGGTTAGGAAGCACAGGTCATGGGGGTGTAGCCTGTTGTTTGGGATGTTTGTTGTACCACTGACCAGGTCCTTCCTCCTGGTCAACATGCAGCAGTGGAATTCCTCTGTCCCTCTGCAGCATGTCCCTCACCATCAGAAAGATGAAAGAGCGTCAAAGTCTCTTGTTCTTTCCCTGCCTGGAGCACTTCTCCTGAGCCTGTTTAGTTTTCTACACTGTGTCATGCGTGCACCTGTAAGTCGATTACAGCGGGGAGACACACAAGGCCGTTACAAGGGAGCAAAAGTGTAAAGGTTCTCAAACCCTAAGAACGCTAACCCAAGGCTAAGCCACAAGAAAGTCAGGACAGGAGTGACTTCTGTTTGAAAGGAAAGCCGAGATGGGGGCATTTTTCAAGTGAGAATGATTGGGATTGGATTTGAAATTGACAGGTTTTTTAAAAAACAAATGTTTTGGTTTATTATTTCTACCTGAATGTATGTTAAGCATGTTCCTTAAAGAGTGGGAATAAGAGAAAATGAGTCAGTGAAGTTTGTTCTACGCCAACTGTCACCACTTGTGTTCTTAGATAAAACAGCCTACAGAGGGCAGAAGGGAGGTGTGCATAGGTGAGAACAGAGTTAAATTCAGTAGCTTTTCTATGTCCATGGGGAGCAAAGCAAGTTACAGGGAGGGCTAAGGTTTGCAAAAAATACTTTAGATGAGGTACCACACCAAGTGAAGGGGAAGCAGAGAGCCGTGTTCTTCAACACAGAGCCAGAAGTCAGCCTCCCGGCCTTGTCCGCTCCTCCCTGCCCACCCCACCCTGCACGCACAGACCGTCTATAACCCACACTGCATCCAGGCCAGTCCTGCCCTCACGGAGCTTCCTCAGATCACAGCGCTGCCTGCTGGGCACGGGCGCCTGCCGTGCCCTCCGCTCTCGCTCTGGCGATCCCGTCCTGGCTCTGCCAGACAGGCCCCACTCAGGGAACCCCACCTTTTTTCCCTCCCTCTGTAGAGGTCCACTCCTGACTATCCCACTCCCTGGCCTCTTCCACATCGTTGCTCAAAAGTTTCCTCTCCTTGACCACTGGACTTCATATTGCAGCCCTTTCTGGCCTGCCTGTTTTTATATGGCACTCATCACTGGCTGACATAAGGACAGTGAATTTTTGTCTCTTTTGTTTGCTGTTATAGTTCCAGAGCCCACAGTACTGCCACAGACTAAGCATTTAATACATAGTGGGTGAACCAATCTCTGTGCTTATGGGGCCCTCGAGCACTCATCTAAAGGAACCACTGGCTCAGTTTCACAGCTGAGAAGAGACAAGCCCTCCTTCGGGGGGTTAACACACCTAGAGATTATCATTTGTCCTGAAATTAATACTCAAAATCCCCTTCCAAGTGGCAGCTGTCCAACAAATCCTTAAGAGAAAAGATCTTACCATACTAGCTCCTGCTCCTCCTGGCTGTTAATATTTTAAATTCCTGCCCAAACCTGCAGAGAAAGAGCATGATGCTTAGCCTTGAAATACATTCCATGATTTTTTTTTTCATGAATTTTTGCCTGTTAATTAACTCTCAACTGTAACTTCCATTATATGATGGTGAGTTTGCGGGCTGGCTGGTGGAGCGAGTGGGGAGGACACTGAGGATTGGAGGAGACCATTCCTGGTGGGGCTCAAGGCCAGCCCCCTGGTAGACTTTGTTAAGCAGTAGAGATGTGTCTCTTTGGGGAGGGGCTGTGGAAACAACAGTGGGTAAAATGAGGTGGGAGTGTGAGAAAAATCAGGAGAATTAATAGATCTATCTCCTGTGGTTTCTTCCAGAGACAATTATCTAAAGCTCAAAGCACAAAAACTAAGCCTGTATTTTTAACAAACCCAAACTACTACTTGTCACAGTCCATTCACTAAATACAGAGAGGTTCTTGTTTTTTATAAATGTTCCTAGATATAATTTTATTACAGCAGTTGACACACAACCATAGGCACCACCCACCAGCCTTCTTGGACAATGACAAGCCTGGCTGAGGGGAAATTCCTGGCCCACGTGCTTGATCCTGCAATTTCCATAATCCACACCCCTGGAGGCCAAACTGGTGAAGTGGATTAGCGCCTGAGCCTTTGGGGTCTCGGTAGAAGAGAGTCCAAATCCCCAGCTTAGGTCATAAGGAAAGATGAAGGGCTGGTTCAACGGTGTATCCCCCTTCGGGAGCGGTGAAAGGCACAGCTAGTTATGATTATTAACCTCGTTCAGGAGAAGCACAGCCAGGAATGTGGTGAATTGATTTTCATCCAGAGACTGGCAACAGCCAACAGGCTCTCCGACTCTGAATTCACTCTGGGCCTTTTCAAACGCCACGTGAATTTTTTCAAAAGAAATCACAGTGTGACTGTTCACTGGCAGAGAGAAGCATGTCATTTTGCAGAAGTGCCCATTTGGGCTCAAATAATTTGATGGAGATAAAGTAGCTTGCGATCATCAGCACATTGTGAAAAGAGGGACAAATCCGTTCTCCTCTCTTCTCTCGGCAGGTGTATTTCTATTGGATTTGCCGGGATTCCAGAGCCTTTGAGTGGTTTGCTGACCTCCTAGTCTCGCTGGAAACACGCATGAGTGAGCGAGGGAGAACTCACCTCCTGAGTTACCATATATTTCTTACTGGCTGGGATGAAAACCAGGTATTGATAAGACCGAGAATGAGCAATAGTATCTAAGTCATCTAATAATAGAGCAGAGAGAAGAGGAACAGTTCTAATAATTAGCTATATAGTTTCTGGCAGCATGAAAGAATTATTTTTTGGTTCTTAAAGAGGAAAAGAGGGTGAAATCAAACCAGACTAGAAAGAGCTACTCAAATCGAAGCGATGAAAGAACCTATAGTTAACATGCTGAGGACTAGGAAAGAAGGTGGGAAAAGACGGTGATCCGTGGAAGACAATCCCAAGTTTGGAAATCCAAGAAAAATTATGTCACTGAAAGTGGCATTTGTTATATGAGCGACATCAAGCGAATATTATTGGCTGTACTGTCAAGTTGAGCTCCTAATTGGTTCTAATTCTATGCTTTAAGCTGTTCAGAGCTCGACAGAAAAAAACTCCCTCGTGTTTATATTCACTGTTTTATCTTGTAAAGTATGTGAGTGTCTATAGAAAATAATCACTGTGAATATGTGATTCATCTAGAGATGCTGTTTCTTATGGCATTCTTAGAAAGTGTGTGCCTGTTTGTTAATTCACCCAAGAGCAAAACAATCTTCTGTTGTAGCAGGTGCTCTGGGGTGGACTAGATTAGAAATATTCAGGTTGAATTTACCCAAAATCATGTATACCACGGTAAAATACTACGGTAGTATTTTAGTGTTGAGAATATTGAATGATAACTGTTAAATTTTAAGTTGTTTTAACTCCTCAAATGTGGAAGCTACAGTGACATGATTACTAGGTTATAAGTGTCTGTTCTAATGGGCACTTCTATAGTGGCTGCTATAGATATTTACCTTAAGGAGAGTGTATGTGAGTCAAGGAGATTTGTATTAATCCCTCTACTCACAAGTGAATGTGCTCCTGTAAGCCAGCGAGCGCACTCTGTCTCTGTCTCTGTCTCTGTCTCTCTCTCTCTCTCACACACACACACACACACACACACACACGCAGTGACCTTATAGGACATCACTGTCATTTTACCCTGCCTTTTCATGAGCAAAATTTTGGTTGAAATTCAGTAACTAACTGAACTTTTAAGGTCTCATTTGTGGTCAGCCTTAACTATTTGTACCTCTGTGATAATTTGAAATATAGGTGTGTGTCTTGTTTTGTTTTGTTTTTCAGGGGGGGTAGGGACTAGGTTTGAAGCATCTTAATAGTGTTGTTTTCCAAACAAACATTTTCCTCATTCGAGTGGGGTTTTGACTAATGATCCATTCGGTGAAGTTCAGGCATAGCCTTCGTCTTTTGCTTGCTAGTTCCCTGCTCTGCTCCCGGCTTCTAGAGTGAACTGATCCGAGTGTCCACCTAGGAACCCCCAGCCACTTGGGAGACTGGGGCTCTGTTTGATTTTGTGGCAACACAACTTCGCCCCATCCCATCTGTTCCTCCCGAAAGTGTACTATAACATATACTTTTTATAATTATAAGTAATTTAAAGTAATATTATTAAATTTTCACATTGACATGTTGGAAACACTTGAGATGCTCAAATTCCAGGAATAAAATAACTGATGCAGTCTGTCAGTAAGAAATCAAAAGGCTGTTTTAGAAACAGCCTATTGTTAAACTGAATCCAGCAACCTCGAAGTGGCAGAATGACAAGCACAGAAGGGACAGATGGAAAAGGTATCACGAAGGGCAAATCAACAGGGTTTGGAGATTAATTGAGCATTGGGCTGAGAAATATGGAACAAATACAGTTCCAAGAGCTCGAACATCAGTGACTGGCAGCTCAGTGCTACCACTACCATAAGCAGGAAAGGCCGTTTTCCTATTAAATAATGCCGAGACTTAAAGTACTGTGAGTGCCTAAGTCCCTTCCTGAACTGATGGCAACCCACTTGCCCCCTTCCACTCTCACTTCCCCTGGCACTGGGGCCACCAAAGAATGCGTGTTCTCCTACCGTGCTATGCACCCTCATGTCCTCCCTTTTATTGTCCCCCTTCCCTGCCGTGTCCCTCCCCTCTGCCTACTGCACGGAATCATCTCTAACCCCAGGCCCCTGTAAAGCCTTCCCCAGTTCCCTTGGTCAGAACCCCTCAGGGCTCCTGCAGAGCACTTGTTTCTGTCTCTCGTGCAGATGACTGTGGCCCTACCCCCTTCAACGACCAGTTCCTCACAAAGCAGAGGCAGTCTCTTTCTTCTCTGTACCTCCCACTCGGCACACGCTGCCCGCTGATGGGAATCACTCAACAACTGGAGTCACAAATGATTCGGGAAGATTCATTTTTAGCTATGATGATCAATTTGAAGGAACAGAAAGAATTAATAAAAATAGGTTTGGGAAGTTTGAGATGCAGGACTCCACTCAGGCAGGAAGAGGAGGGCTTGGGGAGAAAGCCGGGGTTTACCTTTGTAACTCATGCTAATCAGGAACATGGAAATGGAAGCTCTTTGGGGTGTAATGGTCTCTAAGAGGTGCATAGAGCTGAGAATAGAGGCAGCTACCTTTTGTGACAGGAGAATATAATTGGAAAACAAAACCTAGTGTTTCTCCCTTGAATCAAAAGAGAAGCCAGAGAGCCCTGGCCGGTGTGGCTCAGTTGGTTGGGTATCATCCTGAGCACCAACAGGTTGCCAGGTCGATTCCTGGTTAGGGCACATGCTCAGGTTGCAGGCTCGATCCCCAGTACGGGGCATGCGGGAGGCAGCTGATCGATGTTACACTCTCACATTGACTTCTCTCTCTTATCCCTTCCTCTCCCTCTAAAAATCAATAAACTTAAAACAATGAAAAGAAGAGCCAGAGAGAAGTAGAAGCAATGGGATTCTACAACGCAAACAGAATCAGGAAGCAGTGGTTGGCCACATGGTGAGGAAGCCAAGGAGAATCAAGCTGGGTTGCTCATTAGATCTGGCACTTGGTCAAAAGTAAATGGACTGTGTCGTCCTCCTTGCCCACAGCAGAAACCAGCTCACTGTGTGGCACCAATCAGTCCTGCTGTTACGCAGGGGAGCGGTAGGGATGCCGAGCCACCACTCCAGCCTGGAGGCCAATATAGCTCTGACTTTGGCTCCAGTTCTGGTAACAGGGCTTCTGCCAATTTCCAAGGCTCCTTCCTCACCCAGTCCTCAGCTCTCATGTATTTCCTGGCCTCCTGTTTCACCTTCGTGCTTCACTCTCCATCTTGATAAACCCACCCTCCTCGCACCATTTTTCTCTCCTGGAGTCTTATTCCCAAACTCACTCCCATAGCTGCCTGGGGGCAGGACTGGCCTGACAGCAACTTCCCGCAGCCTGGGTCTCCGCGGTTCCACCATGGCCAGCCATCGACTAGCCTGCTAGGGCATGACCAATATTTTCCACTCAGCCTCCCTACCCCCTTCCCCTGGCTGCTTTCTAGACTGAGAGGAAGCCCAGCTGGGGACATCAGGTGCTCAGGAGGAACCTGGGGCAAGAGTTGGGCCTAGCAGGGTTGTTAGACAAACTGGACAGGAGCAGAAAAAGTTAAGATGTGAGAAACCAGAGCACCGAAGGGTAAAAACACACAAGTTCAAGATCTGTGGAGGGGTGAAGGGGAGGAGCACAGGGGACACGAATCCCAAAAGGTAAACAAAGTAGCTACCAGAATTTAATGACAACAAAAAAGTTATTGCTAGGCATTGCTATGCCCAGGCTCTTCCTCGTCGACCTGATGCCTGGGTGTGTTCATGCAATTTGAAGGCGAACAGCTGCACATGGAGCTCCAACCAGGCCCTTGCTAGGTTTGGCCACCATGTCCTGTCTGCCAGACTCAGCATCTTCCTCGCCCTTGGACCTGGACAGTGCACTGCAAACTCTTTCAACCCAGTAGGCAGCCTGGTTGAGATCTTCTTGGCTGTTTCCTGTCACTTTAACCTGTCAGCCTTTCTCAGATCCCCAAGGTTTAGTATTAAATGAATGGAGACAAAGGTAGTGATTAATTTTTGAAAAGTTTGGCAGGAAAAAGGAAGCAGTTTAATGCTTGCTTTCCCTTAACCAAATTTACTCTATTCCTCTCATTTCCTAAGGAAAAATCTTCCTTCTAGGCTCCTGTTATTGCACATCTACTATGTGGGAGGTGCCTCGTACCAATAGCACCCACCATGGGATGCAAAGATAAATGATTCAGACGCCTGTCCCAAGATGCAGGATGGGTGACATCTGATAATAATGATAATAAGCATTTCCAGCCCCATAAAGAATTTCTTGAGTATTAAATCTACAAATGAGCATAATTACTTTTATTTGGTAGCAGACTCCTGATTTTTCTAAATGTCATCTGATACCACAATTTTTATTGTAGGCTATTCATATAGCTTTGCACTGGGATAAAAATACTGACGTGATTACGGGACTAAAGCAGAAAACCTTCTATGGAAGACCTAACTGGAACCACGAGTTCAGGCAGATAGCCTATGATCACCCCAGGTAAGGCTTCCCCCCCACCACTGGAGCCTCCCTGGGAAAGGACAAGTTGCTGCTGAAACGGACAGCTCTCGGGCGCCCTGGTTAAGCTGCAGCAGCGGGCATCTCACTCAGAGATAAGACGGTGGCCTTATAATAGGGGGCCCTGGGATATTTCTGGAACTTCGATGTCTGCCTGACTGGCTTACAGCACCCCACGATTAGCGACTACACTGACCCGCTTTCACACTTAAACTAAAAGATGGTGTTTCTTACACTACCCATGTCTTCAAGAAATCCTTGGTGTACATAGTTGATCTCTATACCCAATGGGAGAATTCACTTACATCCAACTGCAAACTGTATGTAGCATGTCTAGCAAAGCAGACAAAGTTATAAGACCCAGTGGGGATTTCGCATGGTGGTTAAAGACCCAGGATGTGGAGCCCCAGTGCCTGGGTGTAAATCCTGGCTCTGCCATAGCCACCAGTTTACTTGGTCAGGTTATTTATTCAGCCACTCACTCAGTCCCCTTCTCTGTGAACTACAGATAGATAGCAGCACTGCTTACCTCCTAGGCTTCTGTGAGGATGAAACACAGGAATATGTATAAAGTGCCTACAATAGACTCAGTAGATGTTAGCTGCCCCCTAAGCCCCAGCCAGCCTCCTCTGAGCCCTGAAGGTCACCACCCTTCATCTCACACCCATAGGGTACATGTCCAGAGGCAGGAATGGATCATTTTATCTGCAGTTTCCTTCAAGAGTATATAGGTAGAAAAAAAATTTTAAGTAGAAAACTAACAAAATGTCATAAGCTCATGTTACTGCCACAATCCAGTTTTTTGTTGCTATTTGCTCCTTTTGGAAAAAAATATATCTATTCATCTAATAAGTGTTTTAGACTCAGTTCTCATAGAGTGAATGTTCCCACTCTGCAGGCTTTGACGCAGACTCATCTTGGTTGTAAGTCCTTAGAGATAGGACCCCTCTTTATGATGATTGTCCCTATTGCCGTCTCACACTGCATTTGTTTATTTCTGTTACACATGAGGTTTGCAGCACAGTGGGGAAGGCCTTTTGAGGCAAACTATTTCATGGTCTCCTTTCCGTCAGAAAGGCATGAGCCAGAAACATCAAGAGACTAAGAGAGGCACTGAGTTTGCACAGACTCTGCCCAAAGAGTTATGTTGCGTGGTACTGCAAAGTGAGTGTGCCTGGTTTTGCAGGGAGTGAGGAAAAGAGGACAGTTTGAAGATGGGAAACAGTGTAGCTGTCACTTTTCTTGTTGCCCTGTGAAGAGAGTGCACATTCCTTTTCAGAAGCAATAATCAAAGCTTAGCACAAAAATGTATTTAGCCTGATTTTCTCAGCACAGTAGCTATGTAAACTCTTCCTGATGGATGACTTCATCTCTTTCTGAGTAAACAGGCCCCAAAGTCTGGACAGCACTGAATCAAGCCTCTACAGCTCACTTGCTAGCCCAAATTTTTAAATTAGCATATCTGTAAGAGCCTTAGACTCTAGAACACCACAACTTGTTATATAGCTTCAACTATCAATGCCATTAATATTAGACACATGTAGGCAAAGCAATTATCATTTTAACCCTGGAGTGCCAGCTCCCTGGGAAGATGAGTCGCCAGTAAAGGGCTTTAGCACCACCCTTCCAAAAGACTTTTCAAATGACCTCCTTAAAATAACGTTGTTTTCTGCTGTGCGAAAGAAGATTTATGTTTAATGAAGCTTTTAATGAAGAAATCTTGGAAAGAGAATGCCAATAAAATCTAATTTTTAAACAAGAAAATTTAATATGAAGAAGTATTTCAATATCCTGGCCTCTGTCCAGATATAAATGAAATACACAATCCAATTATGGTTCTACACAAAGGACAAAGGGACATTAATTTTCCTCAAGATGGTTATTAAAGAGATAAACAGCATGTTTTCCCCTGATTATGTCAAGGATACGTTTGTTCCCAAGACTGCTTGGCTAGTCTTACAAGACAGGTCTGTCCTGTCATTAGCTCCTATCTTTTGGCGAAGATGGGTCAGAGAGAACTGGTGGGTTTGTTAGTGGCCTCAAAAAAGGTTCTTTGTTCCTGGGGCCCTTTGAAGTGGGCTCTCAACCATTTCCATTCATCAGCACGAAGCCCGAGATTCTTAGGGCTCCCTCTTTCAAAAACACTTACCTGTTCGCTCAAAGCTGGGGTTTGTTCTTGTTCTCAAAAGAAAGAGTTAAATCAAAAGAATAAAGGGAAGAGGGGCAGACATTTTTTATAGAACATGAAAAAACAGCACCAAAGCTTGAAGGAAAGCAGATCAAAGAGAATGGTGCCTGCGATAAAGGAACTGGAAAATTGCAAAAATAACAGTAATCGGGAAGCAAACCGATGGGCATCAGAATGAATACAAATAAGGAAAGGGGAAGACAAAATTAAAAAGGGATCAGAGTCTGGAAGCTGAAAATGAGGAAGTGGGTTCTATTGTTTTCCTTTGCAATTAATTTTCATAATTATGTCGGCTGTATTACACACACACAAGTATGGTTTTACAGATCAACCAATAGTGAGTAGATGCATAAAACTGATTCTGATCGACATGGTTGACATGGTAGTGACCGCTGTGGTATCCTGCCTGTTAGACAAGCACAGAACAGTACTCTAAACATAAAAATAATGAAAACTAGGCTTCCAGTTAAAATATGGTTAGCTGAATACGTGCACTGGTGTCTGTCTCACTGATCTATAATAATGTGCACCTTACACAAACACAGAAGTTGCGTTTCATTTTTTGTAAGCGTTTTCAGTATGTTCCCAAGCTTTAGACAAATATTCAGAAAACCAGGAAATCATTTCCAAGGAGGTACACAGAATGAAAATAGATTTTTGTCGCATCTAGCTACTTTTTTGTTAAACACATATTGTGCATATACTCAGCCTTCTGGATGTATGGGTCATTTGTTTTTAATTAATTGAATAAAATGATTTTCCATAGGACTTCGATCTTTGATCTTACACTTCACATAATATTTGTGGTTTGCTATTTGTGACTTATCTACTAATAACTTCAGCATGCCTTGTAGGCGTGTAACTTTATGTAATTAATTACCATAAAAACTCTGAAGAGTTTTTTCATAACTTCAATAGAAGTGCTTCTTTCATCTGAAAGTGAAAATAAAGACTAAAAGAGTACAGCCATTTGTCAAGACAGTTCAGCCCAACCCAGGGATGAGCAGAGGTGACTGGGAGCTTCTAATCCATATTGTAAGAGTGTATTTTAGACCAGCAGTTGTTTTCAGAGATGTAAAAATACCTTTAAGCTAAAGGGAGTAAATGTGTCCATCTGGAGCCACATTTGCTGGTATGCACACCCTCTACTTCTCATTTGTACGTGCATATGTGCAAAGTGTTCCTAAATTATATTTCTAAGAAATTGGCATTCTGATTATAGAATATAAGGCCCTCTGTCGAACAGGAATACTAAACATTCATTATAGGGCTAAAGTGTTCAGAATGTTCAAACAAGTAGACTTCAAAGGAAATCCCACACATGACAAATTTTAGCTTCATGAGCAAACTAATGCCATCATCAACGTATGGTTGGGATAGTGTTTGCATATTTAAATAGCATCTTTTTATCAGAGGATACCAGCTCTTTATTTACAATCCAGTGAAGACTCAATGAAAATTATTGGCATTATTACTCCATTTGTGGTAGGTAGGGTTAGGGAGGTGGGTGAGCACAAGGTAGATTCATCATTGCTCTACAAAGTTACTTTGGTGATATTACCTACCAAATCATTAGCTATGGCAAAAATGTTAGGATATTTCTATATGAAGGTATATGTATTTTAGTGTTTTATCAAAGAGGGGGAGATGACAGGGTTGGGGAAAAAATGGGTCTATCATTTCCAGGGATCTAATGCTACAAGTCAACTACTTTCATTTGACATCCTCAAGGACAGCACGTTATCTCTGCTCCTCAGGGTCCAGCACAGTGACCAGCCTCGTTAAGTGGAAGGGCCATAAGAAGGGTGAGGAAGCTGGGACAAGAGCCCTACTCTTGCCAGGGAAGACGGAGTTGGTGGGAAGAGGGCAGGAGGGCCGCAACAGTAAGCTGTCAGAGCTGCCTGGAGGTCCTAGTGAACACCTGAGTAATCAGGATGCAGAGAAGTAACAGGGCAGGCCGCTACTGATCAACTGGGAGCTGATCTTCTAAAAAAAGAAACCGGCCAACACAATGATCATCTGTGGTCATGAAAAAGAAGGTGTTGTATGAAATAGGATTATGTGGTGAATCGTTTGAAGGCCTGGGTAAAGAAAAGCATCCTCTAGGAATGATTCCCCAGAAGTCGTGTCCATTGTCTGATGCCGAATTTGTAGCTCTCCTTGTCTTCCTGCCAAGCCTTCGTAAATTCATGGGAAGCTCCTGTTTATCGATTTTATTTGCAGAAAGCGCTCAGAGTATAAAGTAATTTGATTTTTTTAAATGGGGTTTAGGGTCTGCCCCTACAGGGTTATAACTTACCAAGTATAAAAGCCAACACATAAAAACAAGCATGCAATTTAAAGAGAGAAGGACTAAGGCAGCAGAAGCTGGGAATCCAGGAAGATGGCGGGGTGACTCCGGGCGCACCCCACCTCCCATGCATCTGCTGGCCAGAAATCTCCCGGGGGTGGCATTTCCAATGCCTTTCATTGCCGAGCTGCTTTGAAAAATGCCTCAGCCCCCAGAGAAAAGATGATAGTTATCTAGTAAATACGAGAGGACAAAGGGGACGTGCTCTGACGTTGTCGGAGTTAAATACAATGCTGTAACGGTAACCGTCCTTGCAGCTTGCGTAAAATGTGTCCTTTGCTCATCAGAGCCAGCAGCTCAGACTCATCAATGCTGTAATGTCCCCGATCCAACTCCTCCTGCGTGTGCAAGCTCGGCAGGCTATAAACTACAGAGCATGCCTCGTGTTTTTATACTTCTTTTACAGAGAATGTTTCTTTTAATTCTAAGCAATCGTGGGTAATTAAATTTTATAGATTTTTTTCTTTACCAACCCCATTAGGGTTCTGTTGCACTTGTCCATTGCCTCATAAAGGAGGCGGCGAAATACAGCCACATCTGTGTCTTAACCACTCTGGGTGGGTTCTCAGCTCTGTGAGTTGCAGTTCGCACTTGTGACAAGAAATCTCCATGTTTGAAATCACAAATGCCGAGCAGGATAAACAAAGCGAGCAAAGGAATGCCACGCGTGGGGACAGGATCACAGTTGGCTAGTGAGGGACTGGCCTTTCCGCCTAGTGGAAGGTGGACAATAAATGGCTTTGTGAGACTTAGCTGGGCCGTGTAATAGCTGAAACTTCAAGAGAAACAGGGTAGCTGTGAACTGCTGGGGACACCGGTGGTCTACCTGGCAGCCAGCAATCAGAATCCTTTGAAACAGAGTCTTACAGGCAGAGCATAAAAGGGCAGCCTCAGCTTCTGCAAGCATCGCTGTGGCAGCCAACGAAAGGGCAATCTTAGCCTGTTGGGAATGGGCCAGTGGCAATGTCTTTGGTGACACCTACAGTAATGGAAAAATATCACCACCCATAACTGCATCTTTGAACCTGGATACAAGGATACCTCTGGGCATCAGACACAGAGCCAAGCTGTGACTTTCACTGGGAAAGGTTATGCCTGACCCATCTATCATCCAAAACATTTCAGTCCAGAAATCACAAAACCTAGTGATAGAGTGCTGATCCAGGAAGTCTGCAGTCATCTCTGGGTTAACAGGCCACTTCAGATCTTCTGTACAGCTTCCTAGAGCAGGCAGATGCCGTGTGGGCTGTAACGTCAGCTGTCTCTGAGAGTTCACTGTGGACCAAACATGGGGCAGAAAGCTGGACCCACAACGTCTAATCCTCACAGGGGTTCTAGGAGCTGGGTACTATAATTCTCCCATTTTACAGAGAAGGAAATAGGGCTTCGGGCAGGTGCTTTATGTGTCCAAAGTGGATCAGCACCAAAGTGGTGGGACCAACAGCACTTTCCATAAACACCTTACACTTGCTTCAATAAGCCATAAACTCATATTTTCCAGTAAGAAATGTGTTCTGAAAAAAGCACTTTCTCCAACTTAGCCATGGGAATGTCGTCTTTAAAAATAAGACTTAACAGATTTTAAATATATTGTCATTTATAAATGAATCCACTTGGTAAGTTTCTTTGAAGCTAGAGTTTGAAATGTAATTGCACCATCCATTTCTCCCATGGATCTTGTGTTCCTGGAACCATAATTAAATGTGTATATGACACAGGGCAGAGAACCACAATAACTTAAAAGCTGAGTAGAACGATGCTGTAGTGGTGCTTCCTAACAAAAACTAGGCATGGAGACTGGAGGTGGTGTGGTGGGCTGAGCCTGGCAAAGGAAGGATTCCTCTAAGATAGTGTTTCTCAGAGTGTGGCTCATACACTGTGTGCCTGTGTCACCTGGGGGCCTTGCTAAAAATGCGTTCCTTGGCCTCAAGCCTGGGAACCTAAGTCTTAACAATCTGCTTAGATAATTCTATGCACAGCAAAGTAGGAGAGCTTTTGATCTAGACTAGAGTAACTAATTAAATTATGCCAGAGGTTGGAAATTGCTGTGAGGAATAGCACAATGCCAGACAAGGGAAACCTGGTCTCTGTAAGTGCATATAGAGACAAGCCCCTCCTGACTTCCAGAGGTAACCTGAGTCCTCTCACTGATAGCGTTGTTTATATATCGGCAGAGCTGGCAGTAGTGGTCACAGGGGACTTGAGCATCCCTGGGACCATCACTATATGCAAAAATACCTCTTCAACACAGTTTTCTGAAATGCCATGGTCACAGATGACAACTTTTGTGTGACCACATTTTCATCAATGCCTTTTTTTTCCCTTTCCAACTCTTCTTTTTGGCCTTCTTTGAAAACGAAAGTAATTCTACCAGAAGAAATAAACTAGGTTGTTATGACTTTAGTATAAGTTGTATTATCTGTAAAAAGGCAGGATTGAACAGCATATTAATAACTAACACTTTTTAAATCCTTTTGAATGCATTGTCTCATTTTACTTTCAATGAAACATAACGTGGTCATCACTATCTTTGTTTTGGAGACTGAGGTCCTGTGTCTTGCCCAAAACCACACAGATAACTTGCAGAGCCATTTATTCATTCATTCAATAAACACTTCTTGATTGTCTACTGTATGCCAGGCAAGATTCTGGGGGGTACAAATATAAGAAGAGTAAAAGAGTCCAGGTTTCTGCTCTCAGAGAGCTTACATTCTACCATCCAAGAAGGCATCCATCAGTCACCAGACCAAAAATCCAGGCCATGTTACCTCTGTATTGAAACTCCCTCCCCAGTCCTCATGAATTTACCAGCCTCAGTCTTCTCGACCCCACCTACCAGTGTGATTTAGGGCATAACAGGACCCTGGGGCCCTTTGGGAGACCATGGTGCTGAAAATAAGAGAATCTGAGAAAAAAGGAAGCTCATGGAGGAAAGTCAGTAAGTAAAGTCACGACCACAATAGCTTCCCAATTTTACAATTCCGCCTTGGCTTCCAGCCAGCCTGGACCCGTTAACCTTTCTTTCCTCTTCCCCTCCTGCAGCAGCAGCGTTGGCGTGTTCTTCTGTGGGCCCAAAGCTCTCTCAAAGACACTGCAGAGGATGTGCCGCTTATATTCATCAGCTGACCCCAGGGGGGTCCACTTTTATTACAACAAAGAAAGCTTCTAGACTTGGGAGATAAACAGTGGCTACAATCATATAGGTCACGTCACAACTATTCAACGCTGCCATTGTAATGTACCAAAGTAGCCACAAACAAAAGCCAATGAGTGGGTGTGGTTGTGTGCCAATAAAACTTCATTTATAGGCACTGAAATTGAATTTTATGTAATTTTCTTGTATCATGAAATATTCTTTTGATTTGTTTTCAATGATCTAAAAAATGTAAAAGACATTCTTAGTTCATGGGTTATCCAAAGGCAGATAGCTGGCCAGTGGGTAGTTTGATGGCCACTGATACAGAGAATCTTTCCCAAACTTGTTTTCATGCTTAACGGTAAATCCAACGTGGAGACTAGTGTTACAGTTTGGATCAGAGTGTTCCGTAGAATCATTTCAAATTTCCATCACCCTGATGGCAGAGACGTCTGCCTTATGTCCAAACCTGATCTTTTCTGCTTAAACTTAAGCTCCGTTGTGCTTTTTCATCCCCTGGAGACCTAAGAAATCACCAATGGAGGTTATCTTTCACAAAAATCCTTTATGTGCTTGAAAATGACAATAAAATCATCCCTTCTCTAGTCCAAACAACACTGAATTCTTAACCTTTCAGGGTAGGATATATATATCATAGCCCTTCAATCATTTTTGTTGCTCTTCTTTAAATCCATTTCCACTGCTTCGCATCCTTCTAAAAAGAGCCCACTGAAATGGGACATACTGTGCTGAGGAGGCACCGCTGGTGTTACGGAGCAGTGATTTTTTAGATCTGCTTTGCCACATGCACTTCAATACAACTAAATTCTGTTTGTCTCTCCTTTTCTTTTCTTCCTTTATTTCTTTCTCACTTTCTTTTAACAGACACTTTTTATCACTATAACATTTTCATCTATGATCATTTTGACACTTATACGCCAACTCACCTTCCACCTCACAAACATATTGGGATTTTATTTTAAATTCTGTACTCCCATTGAGCTAGTCTTTCCTTATCAAGCACTGTTTCACCCCAAAAGTGTTCCCAAAGTGTTCCTCATAGCTTATCGTTTTCTCTACTAATACCGGTTAATTTTTTTAGAATTTTCCCTCCTAATATTTCAAGATTGTTTTGAAGTTTAGCATCAGAGACCAATACTAGTATTTAGCTTAGTAATACCTACAGGTTTAATTAGTAATACCTCAAAACTTTTCTTTAGATTTTTAATCCTATTATTGAACCAAAGAACTCCACCACGAATTCTTGCAGCTACCTGTTATTATGAGCCTCTGGGTGGGAACAGGTCAGTAATAACTGGCCATTGAGAACAGGGCACCACCCATATTTTCTTAGCTCATAAATAGCATGTCATATACAATAGAAAAAACATTTATTGCAATTAAAATAGATCATATTTTACAAATGCTTCTTATGCTTAATGTTGTCATTCTGCCATAAAAGATAATTAAATTGGTCTGATTTATTTTTATAAAGTCAGGCAGCCAGTTAAGCTCTCTTAGGTATTTCTAAATTATAAATTGATCATTTCTTTCACTTTATCCTCAGATACTGACATTAATTCTACAATCTTTAAATATACTTTAGGAAAAAAGTTAGGTACATTCCCTGATGTCTCAAAAATTATTACTACTAACTCTGCATTAGAATTTCTCAGCATCTTTAAGTGTTGCTTGATGCATATCATTGAAACTCTACTAATTTTAATATACCCAGTCTTTCTGTATTTTTATTTTCCCACTTCAGTTTGATTTAGTCTTTACAACTCGAACTTTCTGCAATCAAATTTATATACTAAATCTTTACTTTAGTAGGAAAATTTGATATATTAAAAGATCTTTTCTTAATTGTATTCAATTACTTTTCAATTATTATTTTTCTTTCCCTGTATATTTTAAAATAAAATGCATTCTATATTCAGCTATTTTTATCTAATAAATTAAAATACACTCATCTTTTAAAAAAGATTTCAAGTTCTATACATTTCTCTCAATTTTGTTGTAAACCTAAAACTGTTCCAAAAAATAAAGTCTTTAAAAAAATAATAAAAATTTTGCTGCATTTTTTTTTATAACTCTGCTGTTTGCATCCCCCATTTTCATTGTGAATATTAGGCTACTTCCCTACATACTATGTAGAGCCTGACCTATCCAGATAGAAAAATATAACAAAAATCAGTATATTACTTTAGTGCAGCAAAAACCAAATAGGAAGTGTGGGTTATTTTTTAAAAAGAAAATAATCTATTCAAAGTAGAAAAAAAATTGTAGCAGACCTAGATGTTAATTTTATAAGAATTATGAAAGATGATTTGATAAATGAACAAACATTTGTAAAGAGGCATTTAAAATGGGTAATATTAACATGCCTCTAAGTAGGAATATTAAACATACTGAAAACATTCATTCGTTCCAAATTAATAGGTTAAATGAAATTCCAATCCAAACTTAAATTCTCTCTTAAGTTTTTTTAACTGGTAGATATTCTAAAGGTCATCTAAGAGAATATATATGAGAAATAAAAAAGCAAAATGTGAAGAAGACAGGAAAGGAAACAGGAAAGAAAAAGAAGAAGAAAGAAAAGGA